ATCTATCTATCTATCTATCTATCTATCTATCTATCTATCTATCTATCTATCTATCTATAGTTCTATGTGTGTCCGTGTATGTGTACACCAGCATAACCGGAATGCCTCAAGCAACTTCAACCAAATTTAGTACACAGATCACTTACACTCTAGAAAAAAATACTGTGGGAGTAAGACCCCCGAACACCCCTCGGGGTGTGTGTTCCGTTAAGATGCAGCCTGTTGTGCCTTAAAATGGCTTCTACCGTACTGCCGCAAAATGACTTCTACTGTACAGCGCAGTGGAGTTTCCATACGGCTTCACAGTACTCCACAAGGGGGCTCTCTCTGGTAAGGGGGAAAATCCAACATTAGAAATTACATTTGGTCCGGACATTTCCCCCCTATAAATAAATACCCAGGCAACGCCGGGTTGTCAGCTAGTCTAATATAATTAAATACATATTAAATATCCAGTGAGTGCATCCTTCAGCCCTCAAGCACTCCCTGTATTAAATTTGAGAACAACAAAGCTAATGTATCAGAGGGAAATGTTGTGGTCTGGCCCATTAAGCCTGGAACAATTCTTAATTCTTTCAATCCGAGTTTGATGACTTGGAATAGAGAGAAGCGGAGCCAGCCGAGCCAGCTGTCCCTTGTAATAGCGAGGCACAAACAAGCAGAAATAACACTGCATTCCTCTTCATGGACAAACCTTCCTTTTGCTGTAGCTCTTTCTGCAGTCATGGGAACAGGAAATGTAAAGTGAATGTTTACATGTAAATGGGAGTGCAGTTGCAACACAGGGCCGGCGTTTGAGGCTTCCGCTTAGCGAAGCCACTTCACTGCTTTGTGTATTCATTAGAGCTAGTGGTGAAATCTATTTTTTTCTGTGGGCGTGGCTGGGGTGGTGGTGGTGGTGGTCATGTGACTGGGTGGGCGTGGCCAACTTTTTTTTCACTTTTTAAAGCCATTTTTTCCTGCTGGTTCAGGTGAATAAGCAGGAAAAATAATGCTTAAAAAAGTTGGCCACGAAGCCGATCCGTGCAATCATCGGAAGCTGCCCCCCCCCTTCGCTTTTTAAAGCATTATTTTCCTGCCTATCCTCCCAAACCGGCAGGGGAAAAAATGCTTTAAAAAGCAGGGGGAGAGAGGGAAGCTTCCGACGATCGCGCGATCCTCGGAAGCTTTGATTTTACTTCCGGTTCTCAGATCCAAGGACAATCGTCCCTACCGGTTCTGGCCAAACTGAGCCGAACTGGGAGGATTTCACCCCTGATTAGAGCTGTGATGATGAATTTACGGCACATGTGCCACTTGAAACTAGTTATCTGGCAGCGCTCTAAACGAGATTAGGTGCGTGTAGATGAACATTCCTCAGAAAGACTGTTTGCTAAAGCCCGGCTGACTGCGAATGAAAGGAATTCACAGTCGTGTTAATAAAAGAGGTTTTGTCGGGACTGAGACTTTGCGTCTTGCTTTCTAAGGAAGCCTGGGTCAGAACAGCAGTGTCCTCAGCCCAGGGATCCATCTCAATACATCGGGGACTTCTCTTTTGTCTTGCAAAATTCAGAGCAGGCTACATGGCAGTTGCCTGCACACGATGCTTTGAGGAAACCCTTTGATTAAGTTCACTAACAGAAAAACGGACTGGTTTTGAATGAGTCCGGTTGCAGCCTGCTTGGTGATTTCCGCTTGCAGCAGCAGGGCTGGCTAACGTATTTCCTTGGCGACACATGAGGTCACGAGCCTTTTCTTTCTCCCTGCTTCTTCCTCATTTTGGACCGTTTTGCTTTCCCCCAGGTACGAGGATGCTCTGGTTTTGCTGTTGACCGAAGTCCTAAACCGAATACAGTTCAGGTACAACCAGGCCCAGTTGGAAGAGCTGGACGACGAGACGCTGGACGATGATGTAAGAAACTGAGTCCTTGGAGGTGTGAGATTGCGGTTTGGGGGGCAGCCTATAGGCCAAAGGATTCCCTCCCCACAGCATCCCTTTTTGCACCTTTCAGAGGATGCCCCAAAGGTGCTTTTTCCAGAAGGCAACTGGACTTTTCCCTGAAGATGTTTCGCTTCTCAACCAAGAACATTCTTCAGTTCTGACTGAATGATGGAGGACGGAAGGATAAAGCTGCTCAGATGAGAAGCGAAACATCTTCAAGGAAAAAAGCAAAGGAAGTCCTGTTAGCTGCCTTTGGAAAAAGCACCTTTGGGACAACCACGACCTGGATGACTTGAGAATCTGCGTAGACACTGGTTACCATATTGTGAGACTAAAAGTGTTACAAAGAGACCCGTTCTCAGAATGGAGGCAGTAAAAGATGTACCCAATAGAGAACGACACAAATGAGATTCTGTAAGATTTTCCAAACCCAAGGATCTAACTCAAGGGTGTCAAACTCAAGGCCTGCAGGCTGCATCCAGCCTGCAATGTGGTCGGATCCAGCCCACAGAGCTGTCCTGGAAAATGTAAGGAACCACCCTGCGTCGCTTCGGCCCAGTCAACCAACGTTGCTTCGGCCTGGTCTACCCAATGCAAAGGGGAAACATGCCAACAGTTTGGGGAATGGTGTCAAGCTGGCCACGCCCACCCAGTCGGTCACTCCCAGGGAATGGCATCAAGCTGGCCACGCTCTCCCAACCGGCTATGCCCTCCCAAAGTCAATCACAGCCCTGATGAGGCCCTCAGTGAAATTGAGTTTGACACCCCTGATCTAACTCCTGTCACGCTGAAGGGAAATGAGATAAAATGGACTGTTCCACATCAGTGGTCCCCAGCTTTTGGGGGACCGGTTCCATACAGAGAGATTTTTCCACGGAGTGGAGAGAGCGTGGTTTCACATGCTGCCTGCATCATGAAGATGGGGGCTTCACTTGTTTCCATGGACCAGTTTCTGGCATGCTATGAACTGGTGCCAGTTCATGGACAAAGGGTGGGATATCCCTGCTTTAGAGTACAGACGCATAACATCATCTTTAAACCATCCACCATGCTGAAAATATTTCCCGTCATTTGAAAACCAGCATGGGGAGATTAGAACCTTTCTCCTTGGAGCTGTTTTGACTTCACAGTGTACCGTATTTTTCGGAATATAAGACTCACTTCCCCCCCCCCCAAAAAAAGAGGGTGGAAATGTTGGTGTGTCTTATACACTGAATACAGCTATTTTTGGCCTCCCAAATCCCGTCCCCACATCCCATTGAGGGGGGGGGAAATATGCTGGTTTTTTGCAAAAAATGGATGTGTTTTTGACTTCCCCCAGCAGAACTCTGCAGGCTTCATCAGAGCTGGGGGAAGGCAAAAACAGGTGCAAAAAAAAACGGCGTTTCTGCTTCCCCCAGCCTTGCTGAAGCCTGCAGAGTGCTCCTGCGGGCTGGGAGGGACAAAAACCTTTTTTTCTTACTTACCTCTTCAAAATCTTGGTGTGTCTTATACACCAGTGCGTCTTATAGTCCGAAAAAATATGGTAATTGCTTCCCCCCCCCCCCAATTGTTCCAATAAGGGTTTAGAGTTATAAGCCTGACTTTAAAGGAAATTTTAAAATGGCAAATTACATCTTTGTTTTTAACCCTTCAACAGCAACAGACCGAATGGCAGAGGTATCTCCTTCAGAGCTTAGAAGTTGTGGCCAAAGTTATGGAGCTTTTGCCAACTCATGCCTTCTCTACGCTGGTAAGTGTACAGAGTGAATATCATACAATAATAAAGAGCTGAGAAGGATCTTAGAGGCCATCTAGTCCTATTCCTTGCTCTGTGCGGGATCCACTAGAGCAGGAGTCTCCAAACCTTGGCAACTTTAAGACTTGTGGACTTCAACTTCCATAATTCTTCAGCCAGCATGCCTCAGGCTGTCAGTGCTACTTGGCAGGGGTAGGACCTGGCCTGCCATTTGGATGTAGCCTGGAAAGTCCTGTTTATGGTATTTGGGAGAAGAGTTAACTTTTGGGGTTTACCTGAAAACAGGAGTAGGTAAAATAATTTATGTTAAGCACGACATGCTAGCATCCTTGTTAATCCTTCCCTTTGTGATTATCGTCCTCTCTTGCACTTGCTCTGGGCACTCTCTTAAGTACAACAGTGCTCATTGCTTTCTCCAGATTCATTTAATTTCACTCCGTATTTTTCAGCCTTGGGAACTTTTAAAATGGTGGGCTTCAATTCCCAGAATTCCCCAGGCAGCTACCATACCTCTTAGGAGTTCCCAAGGTTGAGAAACTCTCGGTAGAGCTAGAAGTTTAATTTCCCCCCCCCCCAACTCGCCATGGAAAGCAATGTGCTAAAAAGTTATCTGTGCCTAAAATAAGGTTGTAAGAATCAAGTTGGCAAACTTTTATATAGGGAAATTTGAGGGAAATTCTGATACCGGAACCCAAATAGATAAAAGAAACTTCATTTTTAAAAGTAAAGGTTCCCCTCGCACATATGTGCTAATCGTTCCTGACTTTAGGGGGCGGTGCACATCTACGTTTCAAAGCCGAAGAGCCAGCGTTATCCAAAAACGTCTCCGTGGTCATGTGGCCGACATGACTAAACGGCGAAAACGCATGGAACACTGTTCCCTTCCCACCAAAGGTGGTTCCTATTTTTCTACTTGCATTTTTTACGTGCTTTCAAACTGCTAGGTTGGCAGAAGCTGAGACAAGGAACGGGAGCTCACTCTGTTACGTGGAATGATTAAAAACTCTTACTAAAAACTTCATTGCCATTGGTTTATGCTTACCACAGTGAAAGTGATTCTTTTTCACTAGTTTCTAATGTTCTCCTTCCTTATTCGCGATATACTCACGTGGTTGGTTTTTTCAGTATGCTGGGGTTTTTAAAAACTTTTTGAACCTCACGTCCCTGTTCCAATAACATTGGAAACATGTGATTTAGCCACCGTGTAGATAATAAAAGCAGCTTGAGGAATGAAAGCTGCTCTGTATTTCTTCCTATTTGTGGATGAATGGATCTTTGCGGGCACATTCCACATCCTGTTGAGTGGAAGAGCGTTTCCCAACATCTTGCACGACAGAACGAAAAAGAAACAGCAATGTTTGGGTTTTTTGTTACTTCTGCAGAATGTTTGTGCAATGTGATTTTGTTTCTTTCCCACTTGCTACACAAGGGTAACTTCCGTGCCTAATTTTATTACAGGAGTGAAGACTGTTATTACGTCTGTTCTAATTTTTGAATCCGTCGTAGACTTTTGACCCATGGGTCTCTAATTCACATTTTAATACCAAATCTATTCCGATAACCTTTGTCCTTGACCCAAAGGTGCGTTTTTTTCAAGAGGGAACTGGACTTTCTGGATTTCCTTTGAAGATAATTTCGCTTCTCATCCAAGAAGCTTCTTCAGCTCTGATTGGATGGTAGGGAATGGAAGGATTTATATCCCTTGCAGACAGAGCTGGTCATTTGCATCCTTTGAGAGGGTGGTTGAGGCCACTTGGAGGTTTATCTGTGTCCTCAGGGTCACCTGAGTGGTGCAAATGGTTCCTGCAGTCTGCAATTTTTTTCCCTTTGGAAATCCGTTCCTATTCCTACAGCATTCCAAGGTGTCCATCTCAAATTGTATATCTCAAAGTCTGTAGCGAGCCTCCGTCATCCAGGTCATGGTCGTCCCAAAAGTGCTTTTTTCAAGAGGCAACTGGACTTTTTTGTTTTTTCTTTGAAGACATTTTGCTTCTCATCCAAGAAGCTTCTTCAGCTTTGAGCTTCTTGGCCGAGAAGCAGTGGTGGGTTCCGGATCCCGTTGCAACTGGTACGGTCCAACACGGTCCGGTGTCCTCCACGTGAACGTGTGCAGCACGCACATGCGTCCTTACCTGTGATGCTCCAGCTGCTCGGAGGAGCATCGCTCAGGCGCCGTATGTTCCATATGCAGGCACCGTATGTTCCATGCGCCCCAAAGAGCTCAAATACAGGTAAGGACGGCGAGCGGGCAACCCATCCCTCCGGAGCACCTTACCGAAACGGTATCCAGTGCTCCTGGCAGGCACCGGTACGCCCGTACCGGGGCGTACCAGTTGTAACCCACCACTGCCGAGAAGCGAAACACCTTCAAAGAAAAAACCAGAACGTCCAATTGCCTCTTGAAAAAAAGAATCTTTGGGATAACCAAGAACTGGATGACTGAGAATCTCTACAGGCCTCCCTTTGAATCTCCAAGAATCTTCAGTCCTTGACTGAAGCTGCTGCTTTCCACAAGGAATCACAGGATACCAGTGTTGGAAGGCACCTTGGAGGTTTTCTAGTCAAACCCCTCTTCGAGCAGGTTGCAAATCCCGTCTTGAAAAGATGGGCAGGAAATAAATTGGATAAAGAAATGAAGTTTTAAAAACTTCCCTTTTAGGTATTACTGCAAGAATGCTGCCAAGTTAGAAATATTACGGGTCATCCTTAACTTATGACTGGTCACTTAGTGACTGCTCAGTGTTATACCTTTGAGACCCCCCTTCCCAAAAATGACCCAATTGCAAAGTTCAATGGCTGCTCCCTCCGTGGTCACATGATCACATTTGGAGTGATGGGCAATCAGTCCTAATTATGGCAGCCTCCCCCAGTCAAATGAGCACAAGGTATGCTTCTTTTGACAAATGCCGACATTTACTTCCAGTTTTTGGCAAAAAAACCCGCCTCCCAGCGAACAATGGATTTGCTTAATAACTGCGGCATTCATTTCATGACAGCGGATTCACTTAACACCATGGTGATTTACTTAACGACTGCCGTGGGCTCCATTATGGGCATAAGTCAAAGGCTACCCGTATGGGAAAATTTTGCAAAAGCGAAATAGAGCAGCTGGAGGCAAACCCATGGTTGGTTCCTACCGGTTCCAACTGGTTTGGCTGAACCGGTAGTGGTTTGGCAGCCTGGGTCACTGAAAATGGCAATGACCCAGGCGTGCCACGCCCCCAAATTGGTTCCCTAGGCTGCGCCATCTTGTTTTTCAGTTTTGCGTATGCGCAGGACAATTTAAATGTGCAGAACAATTTTAATTGGACTGTGCCTGCGTGCGCAAAGCATGCACAAAGCATGCACATGAGCGAACCGGCAGTAGTGCCTACCGGAATTCACCACTGAGGCAAACCCTAGGAAGTTGGCCTAATGTTGGTTTAACTAGGTTCCTGGAAAGAAGAGCTTATTACGATTCCTGCGCTGTACGTTTCATAATCTTCTGCTGAGAACCGATGGCATACCTGCCAGATTCCATAACGGCCCTTGCCTGAAATTAGTGCTTTAAATTTCTTGGTTGTGACAAGCACATATTGCAGAGACCAAGGGGTTTCCCCACTGTTTCTCCCCCATTGCTTCAAAAGGACGAGATGACATTTCCTGAGGGGAACTAAATCACTCCAGACATTTTAATTATGTATTCAGTATTTTTTACCTGCTGTGTTGAGGGAGAGAGAGAGAGACTCGTGGCAATTTATAATGAAACACCCTGAAGTCTCTAATAAAACAATCTAAATAATTTCACATAGCAGTAATCCATAATTAAAATACAGATAAAAATCAGAAAACTACCCCGTCGAAAAGCAATGAAATTAATCGCACGGTGTCAGTGTAGCCTGAAGAGGAAGAGGCTGTATTATGTAGAATAGGGTGATTGATATTAAAAACAATATATTAAAATATTGAATAACCAAATAGCAAGTTGAAAAAGCAATAATGGAAGATCTTAATGTAATATAAATGTTGGTATTAATATTAGTTATATAAGTTTGTTAAACGTAACAAATATGATTGATAACATTTTATTTACATCAAAGGTATGATAATTAAGATAGGGTGATCAGTACAAAAATAACATATTGAAATATTGAATAACTAAACCATGAAAGATTAAAATTCCATATAAAGAAGTGTATTACTACTATATATTATATAAGCTTGTTAAATGAAACAAATATGATTAATACTAATTTTCTTGTATGAAATGCATGATACTCAGGTACCACACTTTTCACACACTGATATGTAAAAAATAAAAAAAACTTGCGGGGGGGAGATGAAGAGGCTTTAAATTGGTGGTCTCAGGTTTTAAAACTTTCTTTACCATGAGGTGGCGTTAAGTAAGACACGGTGTAGGTCAGACTGGGAAATACTTCTTGCTTTTGATAAATGTTTTCCCAATGGTTTTTCACTGAAAGACTTATGCTATTCGGAAATTTGTGTCCCAAAGGTGAGTTTTCAAAAAATGGACTTTGTTTTTCCTTGAGAACATTTTGCTTTTAACACGTGCTGAGAGGGCCAGATTGGGAAACATGCCATGGAACTACGCTGATCTTTCAAACTTAATTTCTGAATTCTCCCCCTCTCCCCAAATTCATCGTGCTTGAGATGTCTCATCCATTTTGACTTTAATTTCAGCTCTTGTAGTTACACCTTCCTTTTTTGCTTTAGTTTCCAGTGCTCCAGGAAAACATGGATGTGTATCTGGGACTCCAACAGTTCGTTGTCACCTCAGGGACAGGTAAGGTAAACTTTCTGTACATGAAGTCTCGGGCCAGTTAAATGTGACCAATCTCCATTAATATTAGGAGCCCTGGTGGCACAGTGGTTAGAGGGCAGTATTGCAGGCAAACTCTGCCACAGCCTGGAGTTCGATCTTGGTTGATTCAAGGTTGACTCAGCGTATATTGTGTTAAATGCTATTGATATAAGAGTCAGGGCATTAAAGGGAAAAGATCTCAGTTGCTGGCATTTGAAAGGAGCTGAAAACATGTCTCTGGAAAGAGATCAGGGTCTGGCACAGAAGAACAGCTCAGTTAGAATGTGATGGGGAATTTAACATCCATTGGCCCAGCTTTGAGAGAGGGCAGGATTTCATACCAGGGTTGTGTACAATTCATTGCTAAAGTATTCGTACCACTCCTAACAAGCCTTTTGTCAGTGACCACAATCTGTAGGATCCACCTATTTCCTATTTCTCTTTTTTGCCATTTTACCCAGCACCTTCTCCCCAGTGCACAATAGCTGTGGCAAAATGCACACCCTTTTCTTGGGGCTATCCCTGGGAAATTATACTCAACTATATCTGATAAAGGGTATATTGTGTTCTGCAGAAAAGCACACATTAATAAAATCAGCTTTGAGCTTTTCATTATTGCCGTCTCCATTTTAATAACCATTTTTAAACAGTCTCCAGAATCATTACAGAGACATAGGAAGGTACAATGTGAGACATTGATTGACAATAGTGTTTTGAAGGGGAGGACTGAAAAGGACATTTTTGGAAGAACATACACCTGGGTGCTTGGCAACTGTCTCATGTTTATGACAGTTGCGGTGTCCCAGGGCCACCTAATCTTTTGACCAGCAAAGTCAAGGAGGAAACCAGATTCATTTTACAGCGGTGTTACTAACCTAACAACTGGAGTGATTCACTTAACAACTGTGGCCATGAAAAATGGAGCAAAACTCAATTTACAGCCATCTCACTTAGCAGCAGAAAATTCAGATATGGTCATAAATTGAGGACTGCCTGTAGTGCCCGAGTTTAAACTCAAGATTTAGGGTTTGGATTGTTGCTTGTAGTACCACAAGGTTGCCTTGGTCCGAAAAGCGTTTGAAGCTTTCATGGAAGGAAGACGAGCAAGAATGAGGGAGAATTAAAGTAGGAATATCCTTTTCAGAATCATCCCTTTTCTTTTAATTGGAGCCATGAAAGGCTCTCCAGTTCAGATCTGTGACAGGCCAAGCCACTCCTAGACCAAAGGCCTACAATGCAATCCCAATAATTGCTTCATTTCCTGCAAAAGGGAAGGGGCATTATAATCAGATTTCTCCTCTGAGAGCTTCAAATACTTTCAGGGTTTAGTTTAGTTTCCTTGATTGTCATTGCACCTCGTACAACGAAATTAAAGGCCATCTTCAGTGTACATTATAACTATAAAAATAAAAACGCACATCCTTCACATGTTATATAATTCAAATTGAAAACCCGATATTGTGCTATCCTGTAGAATTCAGTGTAGTTACTGCCCTAGGATGGAAGCTGTTTTTCAGCCTATTTGCCCTTGTTTTTATTGTCCTGTGCTGTCTGCCAGATGGTAATAGTTCAAAAGAAAAGGGGAGCCCAGGATGAGATGGATCTTTAAGAATGTTTTGAACGTTCTTAAGGCAGCGGGAGCTATAATGCTCTTCCAAAGAGGGGAGGGGGCAACCCATGATCCTCTGGGCAATGGAGTTGACTCTCTAGAGCGCTGTCCTATCTGCCACCGGGCAATTGGTTATCGTTGTGGATGAGCTCAATCCTTAAATTCCATTAAGAGCAAAACTGGGACTAGTCCAGGGGGAGGGCAACTGTGGCCCTTTTATAGCCTGCGGACTTCAACTCCCAGAATCACTGAGCCAGCCATGCTCACTCCTGGACTTAGGGGGTGAGGAAACAGAGGCCCATTTTGATAGGGTTTTCCTAAACGGGCCAAACCATCCCCCACGTTTTCCCATCAAGGCATGTGGGCTGCCCCTCCAGGTCACCGACTGAACATCACTGCGGAGAACGACTGCCGGCGTTTGCACTGTTCTTTGCGGGACCTCAGCTCCTTACTACAGGCAGTGGGACGGCTGGCGGAGTACTTCACCGGGGACATGTTTGCAGCCAGGTTCAGCGATGCTCTTACTGTGGTGGAGAGGTAGGTCAAACCCACCTGAAAAACTTAAGATCAACTTTATGTTACAGCAAGCAGCAAAATTCTGTTCATTCATAAATCGCAACTCACTTCCTTTTTTTTCCCTCCCCACCCCCACCCCCCCTCTTTAACCCGATTTTCCAGGTTGGTCAAAGTGACGCTGTACGGGTCCCAGATTAAACTCTATAACATTGAAACGGCGGTGCCATCTGTACTAAAACCTGATCTTATTGACGTGTGAGTACGATGTGAAAACCACAACACTAAAAGGCACTAGAAATGCTCTCCTAAAATCCGGGCCCTTCATTGGACACCCATAAGTGTCGTCCTTGAGCCTTGCTTTTGGAGGTACCAAGAGCCAATTCTGGGATGAGATGGGCTTAACCGTGGTTGAGTCATCTCCACCAGATCAATTCCAGGCATTCTTCTCCAGATGGTATTTCTCAAGATCCGAGATCAAGTCACTGTCCCAGGCTTTGGCAGTCTTCATGGATCCCAGAAGTATTCCTCCTGGATCCTCTTCTCTCAGATGCCCTGTTTATCATATAAAGAACGGTTGCTGGAACTGGATATGTCTAGTCTGATGAAAAGAAGGACTAGGGGAGACACGATAGCAGTCTTCCAATATCTCAGGGGCTGCCACAAAGAAGAGGGAGTCAAGCTATTCTCCAAAGCACCTAAGGGGTAGAACAAGAAACAATGGGTGGAAACTAATCCAGGAGAGAAGCAACTTAGAACTGAGGAGAAATTGTTCTGACAGAA